TAGATTTGATAAAAATTTTAAATCTATTCATATATTTATCAAGTAGCCAAAAGCACAAGCTGGAGTTAGAAAGATTTACAATAACATGTGTTAAGAATCTGGGAAATGGTAACTCCATGAAAGATTAAAAGCATGGGATTCTCAAAAAAGAGAATAGAAGGGAAGATTTAATGATAGTCCTCCCATACAGTCTGAGATATTATCAAGAAGAAAATAATCTTTTTTTTCCTATTATGTCAAGGATAAAATGGGAAAAGGTAAGAGAGCTTAAAAGAATGATGAACTTTCTGAATGAAACAGACTTGTCCTGGGAGCTTCCTTCACTGGAGATCTTTAACAATAAATTGAAAATTATTTCAAAAATTTTCTACATATCTTCTAGGGAATTCCATTATGAAACTCCTTGAGGTAATGGATCTGATTAAATCTAGTCATGCATAGACAGAATTCAAGAAAAATTACTGGCTGGGAATATGAGCATTATAGAAATAATCAAGATGCTCTGTGATGGAATTATTCTAAATTGAGCCAACTCCACATGGTTGACTTGATCAAGCTCTGATATGTTGATCATCAAGGAATCAGTCAAAGTGGCAGATAATATTTGTAAGTAAGGGTGAAATAATGAAATCAGTTATATTCTGGTCACTCTAGTGAGGAGGCTGGAGCTGAATATTATAGCAGTAAGAAAAAAAAATGGGGATGTGAATAAAAATAGAATTGATAATAGAGAGGAGCAGGTGAAAGTTTAAACATTTAGTTTTTAAATTATCCAAACCTATGGAAATGTTATAAAACCATTACAATGAGCATTCATATTCCCATGACTTAGATTCAGCAAGTGTTATCCATTTGTATTTTACCAATCCATTGCAAAATAAATTACAAATTTATTTACTGTGCTTAAGTCCTAAGTGTTTCAGCAGATACCCTAAAGGAAAGGATATTCTCCTACTTAACTAAATCTCATGGTATTACCTAAAAATTTAACATTAATTCCCACATAAGTGCCAATTCCATAATCTGATCTCTCCAATTGTTCTCTAAATATCATCTTTTTTTCTTTTAACTTTTTAATTTTGAAATTATTTCAGACACAGAATAGGTACAAAATTGTACAAAGTTCAATTGCCCTTCATCCAGTTTCTCTGAATGTTAAAACCTTGTACATTTGTGGCAACCAGAAAATAAACATCCATAGGATGTTAATCAATAATGAAGAAACTTAAGATAATTATCACAACAGCATTGTGATATAGGTATTATCATCACTTCTCAGATAAGGGAACTGAAAAGGCAAGGCTGAAATATCTATCCCAAGGTCATAGAGACAGTGAAAGATGAGTCTTACATAATTATTTGGCCATAAAGTTCAGAACTATTCACTATACAGTGTTGTTTTCCCATTAATGTCTATTATATAATGGGGTCAAATCTTTGAAAAAGGAAAGATTATGACAAATAGTTTATCATTTATAGGTTATTATAAATCAGAACTAGAAGTTCTAGATGCTTAAAAATATCAATTACAAAAATTCATTAATACTTAAGCATTTAAAGAATTTACGAAATGTACTTTTTGTAAAAATAAGTAAAAGTATGTCCCTTTTTCACTGTCCAAGTAAAATTCCTTGTGGTCTCTATAGTTATATAAGTGATGGTAATAAATTCTGCTTAAAAAAATCTAATTTTCATAAAATTATAGGTTTTTTATTCAGGCACAGTAAAGATGACACCTAAAGTTTTTGAAGTGACTCAAAATGAATAAAGACATGATTGTAATACCTGAAACTATAAAAAATATTGAAGAAAAATAAATAAAACACTCCATGACATTGGCATCAGACACCTCTTTAGGAATTTTGTCTCCAATGGCAAGAGAAGAAAAAGCATACATTAGTAAAAGGAATTACATCAAACAGAAAAGCTTCTGCACAGTGAAAGGTACTATCACCAAAACAAAAGACACCCTACCGAGTGGGAGAAAATAATTGCATATAATACCCCTGGCAAAGGGCTGATAACCAAGATACATAAAGGACTCATGTAACTCAACAAAAATTAAACAATCCAATAAAAAATGTGCAGAAGAGCTAAATTGACAGTTCTCCAAAGAAGACTTAGAGATGGCTAATAGGCACATGAAAAAATGTTGATCATCACTTATGATAAGGGAAATACAAATCAATACCACAGTGAGATGCCATCTCACATCCTTGAGAATGGCCCACAGTAACAAGATCACAAGTAATAAATATTGGTGAGATGTGGAGTAAAAGGTGCCCGCGTACATGATTGGTGGGAATGTAAACTGGTCCAGTCCTTATGGAAAACATTATGGAGGTTTCTCAAAATATTTAATGTCGATCTACCATGTGACCCAGCAATTCTACTCCTAGGTATCTACCAAAAGAATGCAAGACACTAATTCTAAGGGATGTATTTGCTCCTATGTTCATTCCAGACCAATTTACAATAACTATGTTATGGAAACAACTTAAGTGCCCTACAGAGGAGTGGATTAGGAATATGTGGTGTATATAAACTCGACGGAATACTAGTTGGCTATAAAAATGGATGAACTCTTGCCATTCACCACAACATGGATGGAACTGGAGAGGATAAGACAAATACTGAATGGTCTCACTTGCATGTGGAATATAGAGAAACACAACAAAGGGTCAGTCAAAGCCAACCCAGTAATGGACTCTTAACATCTGACTGCAAAACTGACGCCACCAGAGGGGAAAGATGACAGGGTGGGAGTAGTTGAGGGAAGGGGCCCAGTGGAATATGATGAAGGATTATTGGGACACAGGTGATGGCAGGGTATGAAAATAAGTGTTTGTAGAGATTTAAACCTACAGCCCCCAAAGCAAATGCAAAGATGTAATCTTCGTATCTACGTTACATCAATAAACATAATATGAAAGAGAAAGAATAGCTGTTGCCATTTCAAATATTGTTTTGCAGGCTGCAAGTGAATTCAAATAAAAGGCATGATCCTGCTCCATGTTTAGATCAAATAATCAGCCTCAAAGTTATTGTGTAAAATTAATTAGCTGATTTTGGTTACTGCAGTCCCAAATTGTGTTTGGAATGACCAAGCTTATGGATTTCAAGTTGCAACTACAGAGAAGTGTCTAAAGATCTCATTTTCAAAAACTCTGAAGATGCCCAATGAGGGAAAAAAAAATTCTATCTCACCTCAATACAGAGGCTTGTTTACTTTTTGTTTCTGCAAGGAAATTCTGCAGTGATTTTTCTACCTCTGAATATACTCATCTGCTGTCACGGTGAGTAAGCTTCCCACCGGCTCTCATAAAAGTTATTTTCACTGTTATATTCTTACTTCAAAGGGCAAAAATGTCACTTCACAATAACCTTCTTGTCATGAAACACTTCCAGTGAGGACATTCTAAAGGGATAATCCATAATCAAAAGAACCCAGAGGGAATGTCTGTCCACTTCATGAAGTTGGAATAAAGCAACATAAAGTGTGGTGTGTTTATCTGCAGATTGAGCCTGTGCCATTCTTTCTGGGGGGAAATAAGTGGTGAGAATTGGACTGCAGTGTGTGCAGTGACTTGAAAGGTTTCATTTCATAATCTATTCCATGTTTGTCAGATGATATATCTTCTCTGATACGGATAAGTAGGAATGTGACCTGATACATCCTTTTAAATTGTAGTTTAAATTATGTGTGTGACATTCTGGAGCATTTTTATATCAGAAAAGATTTGTGATTATGTGTACTATTACCAGGTCCTATAATCATAATAATTTATGTGGTATGAAAAGAATGCATGATTTTCCTTTCCTCAGCAAAGAAAATGTCAAAGCATAAAAAAAAAAAAAAATAGAGATATCAGGTCTGCTGTGCTTCTAGCCTCTAAACCCCTTCTGTCCCCACGAATGAGGCAGATCACAGTATCATGTCCTCATGGACTGCGAGGTCAGGTCACTGTACCCTTAAAGCTCCTCAAATCTACTCAACTATCTAAACTCACAACAACAGTAATTTTTGCATCTGGCCCTTCAGGATGGGCCTAGCTTAATTTCTGGGACCAAAAGCCTCAGCAGCTGCCCAGATGCAGACATGATTCTGAAATCAGTGCCCAGTAGAGGAGGCAATGAACCCCAACCCTGGGAAGTGTTAAAAAAAACACTGTCCAAGTCTGAGGCTAAAACCAGTTGTTCACTCCCTTGAGAAGTCTGAAGGCTGGGTGACTGCTTAAAAATATTTTCCTCAATTATTAAATTATTAATATTTGTCCTCAAATATTAAAAATATTTGCCCTGGTACATATTAGAATTTTCTGAGGAGGAGTTTTATAACACTGATACCTGAAACTTACTCCATTACAGCTCAATGGAAAACTGGAGTCTGGTCCCAAGACAGCTGTGCCTCAGAGTATTTAATATGCCGTTAAGACAGCTGGGGCCTCCCTGGTGGCACAGGCAGTTGAGCACTGTTGAGCTGGCCACAGCCTCTACAGCGTGGGTTCAATCCTGGCCAGCCAGTGAGAATCCCACATGGCAAAGGAGGCCTCTCCTGTCTCGGTCGCTTCTCCCCTCAGCAGTGTATTTTTGTCAGTCTGCCTTTTCTGTTCCCCGCTCTCTCTCTGGTGAATTCTCCCATGCATCTGGCCTGTACCCCGATTCTTGTATAAAAATAAATAAATCTTAAAAAAAAAAAAGACAGCGCATGTTGATCTAGAAGAGCAGACACTGACTGGACCTTTGTCTTGTTCCAGATTCCCAGGGATACAAATGCTTTTGGTAAATATTAAGAGTCCATTGTGCTGTTTTAGAGAAGAGGATACACCTGGGAACAAAATAACAGCCCTTACTGCCCTCGAGGTGCTTAAATTCTAATAGACCTTTTATTCTGTTTTAGGTCTGATGGAGGACAAAAGAACCAGAGACAGATATCCCAGAGCTCCCGAGGATATCCAGGAGAAAAGGAAGTCTCCAGGCCCCTCACTCATCAACCGTGATGTCAGCTAGAGGCCTGAAAGATGAAAGCCTCCTCGCTCACTCTTCTCCCAGCACTCTGCTATTTAAAGTCAGGGTCAGATGGTTCATCGACCATGCACTGGTGATGCCAATCTTACCTTGAATGGAGACGTGGTGAGATAATCTGTGTATCCTGTAAGGTGTTTGTTTTTTTTTTTTTAATCTCAAAGATTTTATTTTTTATTTGATTTTTTTAAAAGGTTTTATTTGTTTATATAAGAACCGGGGTACAGGCCACATGCATGGGAGGGTGAGAGGATTCACCAGAGACAGAACGGGGAACAGAACAGGCAGACTGACGAAATACACTGCTGAGGGGAGCAGTGGGCGAGCTAGGAGAGGACTGCTGCGCCATGTGGGATTCTCGCTGGCTGGCTGGGATCGAACCTTGCTGCAGAGGCTGTGGACAGCTTCACAGCGCAGCGCTCAACCATGTGTGCCACCAGGGAGGCCCTTTATTTTATTTTTAATTTATTTTCATTTTTTTTAAAAAATCCTTATTTTTCATATAGGGTTTTACAGGAGCTCATAGCAACCACTACACATTGAAGTCACAATCTTACTTTTAACACTCTGAACTCCTCTGAATTTGTCAGCAAGAAGGAAATCTTCCCCAGCCCTTAACCCAGGCTAAAGAATCAGTGAGTATTCTTTAGAACTCTCTGACCCTCAGATTGTTTTTCAGAAAATGATAATACCTGTGTTGAATGATTGTCTATCAGAAGATCTCTCCTAAACTACTCAGCCTAACATTTAAGGTGTTCTATAATTTCCCCAGAACTACATACCTCCATGTGGCTTGTAATCTAATCACTCTGAACATGTCCATTTTCCACTTTTAAATAGTATGCAATAAACATGTGTACATGATAATAAAACATGCTATCATCACCATTTTGAAACATATTGTATTGCACTAGGTAGATTCACCAGACTTACTACTGTTAAATGCTGTTTCTTGTTTTATACAACTATGAATAATAAAGCAATAAACAATAATAGAATTAAATCTATACATATACCCTGATTAAATCAAACACCCTTCTGAATGTTCTGAGTCCCTTCTCTTTAGTTATTCCTCCTTATGTTGCTGATTTGTTAATAACGAGGCATGATCTTCCAAACTTGTTCTGATCTCCTTGATGGAAACATTGGATCATATGGAGTTAAATATCATTTCTATACTGAGAACTCCCAAATATATGCACTCAGCTCAGATGTTCCACTGTCCTCCAGAATTACATAATGTACTACTGCCTCTGGCTACTGCTCACTGCTTGGAAGTCAAATAAGCAACTATACATTAATGTGTCCAAAACCAAACTCTTGTTTTTCCAACAAAACAAATTACTATTTACAGACTTCTCCTGATAAATGCCAACTTTATTCTTCTAGCTGATCCAGCCCCGAATTGGATTAGTCCTTGCTTTCTCTCTATCACAAACTCGCTCATGCTTCATCTTCAAACTCAATCCTACATCCACCTGAATTTCCATCACTCTAATACAAGCCACCATCACCTTCTTCCAGAATCATTGCTATAGTCTCCTAACAGATCATCCTGTTTTTACCTTGTCGTCTCCCCACAGAGTCTGTTCCTATTATAGCACCCAGAATGATTCTAAAATATTTCATGTCCCTCTGCTGAAAATAATCTAATGATACAATCTCATTCAGAATAAAATGAAATTATTACAGTAATCTAAAGATTCTACAAAATGTGCCCCCTTTTAAATTGCTAGATCTTTAACCTCAAACTTCTTTTACAACCACCCCTGAGACTCATTGCTCCAGCTACACTGAGCTGTTTGAGATTTTCCGAACGGGGCATGCATACCACCTTCTCAGGGCCTTCGCACTAACTCTTGTACTTTTTGTATGGCTGCTAGACATCTTCATAGCTAGTTTCCTCACCTTCCTCAGAAGTTTGCACTACATAAAAGTCTTCTCCAAGCATTCTGGTTTTTGAGTGACTCATTTCTTAAACTGCTTTGTATTTTGAAATAGAAGCATAAGCATCTCATGTCCTGTGTATTTTACTAATTAATTTCTTCTTTGCAATCTGTGCTTCTCCACTAGGTTGTAGTTTCCTGATGGCAGAGATTTTTATTTATTTTGATCACTGTTATATCCTCAGCACCTGTATTAAATGATCATGCTCTAATAACATGCTTAATTTTTTTTATAACTCCTTTCACAATTATGACTTTCACTCATTTTACTATTTGGCTAATGTCTGATTCTCTGACCAATACAAGGATTCTGTTTCAGCAGAAAACACATTTGCTGATTGAATGAGAAGATGAATAGATACTTAAATGTCTCCATATTATAAAATATTAGAAATGAGATGCTATCAAATTGTATACAGGTTTTCAACTCATTCAGTCTCATTTGTATAGTAGTTTGCTTTTGTTATACCTGCTTATGTATAACTTTAAAAGTATATATAACAGCTTTACTTACATATAATTAATATATAATAAGATTTTTGGCTTAAATTGTATAGTTTCATGGTTTTCAGTATACTTGTGGTCATGTAACCATTGTCACAATCAGTTTATAAAGTTTACTATAGCTCAAAAGAAACCACAAACCCCTTAACAGTCAAAGCCACCCTCCTTTTCTTCTAAACACTTATCACCTGCCTAGTCCCAGGCAACCAGTATTTTATGTCTCTATAAATTTGCTATAATGGAGATTTGATATGAACAGTATCACACAGTATGTAGTCTTTTATGACTGGTCTCTTTCTCGGCATAGTGTTTTAAGGATCATCCTTGTTGTGTATATATCTGTACTTCATTTTATTGTTATTTTATGAAGTCATTGAGGAGCAAAATTAGCATTACACTTTTAAGTTAAAGACTGACAGTTTTAACCTCTCCTCTTTTATATGCCACAACGTACACATGTTCTATTGTATGGATATGTTATATTTTATTTATCTATCAATCCATTGATGTATATTTAAGTTGTTTCTTCTCTTTAGCTATTATGATTAATATTGGTATGAATTTTCATGTACAAGGTTTTGAATGGACTTAATGTCTTCACTTCTGTTATTAGTTATATACCTAGGGTTGTAGGGCAACTCTATGTTTAACCTCTGAAGAACTGCCTTACTATTTTCCAAGGTGACTGCACATTTTATGTGTGTACCACCAATATATGAGGTTTTAAGTCTGGTAGCTTCTGATATACAATAACCAAATTTTCCTAATGAAAGAGCTGTATTGATAGGAAACTCCAAAAATAAGTTTGAGGGAGATTTCTTGTTCCCCTGGAAACTCATGAATACTAGGTAATATAATTTATCTTAGATTGACAGTTTTATAGCAAAAAATATTACTCTATTGTTATTTTAATTTGAGTTAATTTAATTACTAGTGAATTACGCATGGCTTCATGTTTTATGCCATTTATTTAAAAGCTTTGAGAAGTCATTCCCATGTCATTTATCATTTTTTTCTCTTGTGTTACTTTTGATTGATGTTAAATAATTTTTCTGTAACAAGGAAATTAAATCTTTGTCAATAATATGTGCTTTAAATATTTTTCTTCTAGTGGAAAACAAATTCTTACATTTTAAATGATGAAATTTATACTATTGTGATGTTCTGGGTTTATTCAAGTAGCATACTTGAATACTTGAATAAATAATTCAAAGCTATCTTTAACTTACATATTCCTCTAATCATTCTTTTTTAATTTAAATTTTCATTTTATATGGAATCAATATTGATTTACAGCCTGAGGTAAGATTCTAAATTATTCCATCACATAACATTTTCAAAAGTTGTAGGAGGTGAAACAAAATAATTTTCAGTTTAACTCTTAATGAATATGAAAATTTAATGAGGCAGGGTATGTTAGGCTCAACACAGTAATTTCAATTAAACCAAATATACTTATAATGCTTTACAAAGATTGATTATATCTTCACCAAAACAGACCAAAAATGCCAAATATTAGTAATAGTGGCATTTGGCCAATTTGAATAATGTTATTACAATCATGCATATGTTAAAATATCAGAGATGCATTTAGCAATTACAAAAAGAAGAGTTTCTTAAATGAAAAAAAGCATTAAATCACAGAGTTCCTACTTGAAAAGGTAACAGTTCTGAGTACTTGCAATGGAATAAATATTTCTATATATTATTGGTGATAGTGTTAATGGTACCATCTATTCTGAAATCAATTCAGCAAGTGTGTATCAGAAACCTCTGATATATCTGTGTATAGTCTAACAATTCCATTTAAATTGAATCACTTATTCACTCAAAAAAAAAAAAAAGATTGAGTGAGTACCTACCAGAGTAACTACTCTTTTATAAGGCCTGGGTTATGGTGACCCCTACCTTTATGGAGCTCACATGCTACCTAAAAAAAGGGTTCTAAGAACAGACAGTAAATAACCGCACAAATAATTCTTTAGTTATAGTAGTAGTGTGTTATAAAAGAAAATTATAGAATGTGAGGATAGTCTACTCAAGAGTGTCTGACCTACATTTCAGGACCAGGGAACAGTTATCAGAGGAAAGGACATTGAATTGGGGACCTGGGAAGTGAGGAGGCGGTAGGCAAGGAGAATGTGGTATCAACATAGGCCCAGAGGATTGAGGCGAGTTTTGAGTCAGAAAGAAAACATAATTGGGAACCCCCTTATGTGGATAAGCAGTATAAATCCGGCCAACGAATGAATAAATATTACATCTGAAAGAAATTACTGAGAGGGCTTTCTTTTGTAACACGTTGAAAGACTCTTATCATAAATTAGATGATAATGTGTGGACCACAGCTATCAATAATTTGGGAATACTGAAACACAGGCCATCTGGAGTATTTAAAATATCAAGGAACTCAGAAGAAATGCCGTGTCCTAGTTCAGACAATTGAAACCATGCTCTCTGATGATTCACATAATGCCAGACTGTCCATTGCTTTGCAGCTACTCCTCATGTATGATGCATAGTCCACAGTATGATACTCCTCATGCTCTGTTGCCTGTCCTCTTCTCTTGTTGACACTCTTTCATTAGTGAACAGCACTACTGTCTTCTAAAAGACTTTGTTATATGACACGTTTGGCTCCCAAATGACATCCTTTAACCTGAACTCCCCAAAGCTGATCAGGTTGGAATTCTTAATATTTTTGTCTTCTCTCCTCCTTCCAACCTAGTTGAGATTTAATAGGACAGAGGCTACGTGTAATGTACTGGCTCTGAAGTCATCACACTCTATCTCATCTAAGTTATTGGTAGAGAGTTTACTCTGCTCTTAGGACCTTAAAACCAGGTTTGTATGTATGATGCCCTGTTGAATGGGAAGTCAGCAGAGAGCACAGTTAACTGTGTGCTGTGAAATGTCATTTAAACAAAGCTGGAAGGATACACTCAGAATCATTTTGTACTATGCTTTCTGGAAATGCAGCCATGGCACCCACTCTCTACTCTCCCTTGCTCTCTGACCTTGCCTTAAGGAACTTTGCCCGCCTCCCCACCCCGCTCCGTGAGTTACCATGGTTTAGCACTCACTAGTCTCTACTGCTTACATACTTAACTGAGTATGTTACATGCTTACATATTTAATATGCAGATGTTTTCATACTTAAACATCCCTGTTATTCATGGAACATGTTGAATGCACAAGCCACATCTTCCTTGTCAGTGGGTTTCCCCAGTGCCCAGTCATGTGCTTGAAATGTACCAGAGACCCAATAACTATTTTTTGATTGGATAAATGGTATTAGTTGAAATGACTGGTACTTAAAAATGTACAAAAATAACATCTTGGACTAGACAGTTTTTGCAGCTGTGCACTGATCTGGTTCCAGATCTTCCAGCCCATATGTGTTAGATGCAGGGGGCTTATGAGATGACAGTCAGAGGCAAAACAATAGTTCCTTCCTGGTTATTCTGTTGCACAACAAATTCCTCAAGTCACAGCATGGATATCTGTGTCCTCCATATGCGCAAGGTGTCCTTTGCAACTAATGCCTCTGGTATCTAGTTACAGTTGATTGACAGACAGGTTTTTTGGAAAGATTTAATTTACTGAGAATCGGGGGGAAATATGAATATATTTTGAGGGTTTTAAGTAGGCAGATGACTCAGTGTGAAGAAGCTTGTTTGAGGAGTTGCAAGCATTTGAGTGGTGACACATGCCACCATCCCTGGAGGCCCACACATGGCAAGGGATTTGATATGATACATAAAATGGAACTATAGCCACATGGTCTGCAGAAAATGCATGGGAATGTCAGTGCAGTAGTACGTAGGGCACTTGAGCCAAGCTGACATCCATGGTTTGGTACAAACTCGCAGTTGCTGATATCCAATTGTGTATTTACACAAGCAAATGTTGGGGATTTTAATTTGAGACCTGCTGAATCCTCATGTTGTGGCACTGTAGAAATATCATCTAAGAAACGGAAAAGGAAAATAATTGTGCAAATGTCTGAAAATTAATTGCTCACAGAATTACACAAGAAGAGTGATGTGCTCGTCACTCCCTATGGCAATGTGGCTATGTATTGTGTAAGCTTCTTCTGTCTACAAAAAAGCCCTATGAATTACAATATAAAATACTATCATTACTGGAATGTGAGGTTTTCAGGCCTAGTCTCCCAGCAAGGAACGGATCCCACACTGCGGGGGGGGGGAGGGGGGGCAGCGCTGAGCCCCAGCCACTGGACCACCACAGGTTGGTGTCTCACGAAGCCACAAAAGGAACTTTGCTGACACTCAGGCAAGCAAGCTAGAAGAGGCAGATTTGTTTAGAGAAAGAAAAGTTTATTGAGGAGAAAAGGAACAGAAATAAAGTGGGACTCCCAGGTGGGTGGAACCAGGCCGGAGGGGCAAGGAAACTGCCCTGGAGTCATGCTTCAGGGAATATGTACCTTCTCTCCCTGATTATTCTAAAGCCCCTCAGTCAGTCTCTTCATGACTGCTTACTTCTCAGTGGTCTCACTCACTCTGCCTTGTGTCTCTGGGCCCAGAACTACATTTTGCTTCAAGCCCTTTTGTTAAAGTCCTTTTCTCTGGGAATGTCCTGCTACCCCTAGTCAGGGTTGGGGGTCTGGGGGAATCTGATTTATCCCCTTTGGAATTTGCTGCCCTCATCTCTGGAGCCGTCCTTATTCCTCTGCAGATTTTCCCTATTCTATTACGACCCTAGAAGCGATCTGCTTGCCATGTGACTCTTTCCCCCCTCTATGGATGGAACCCCTAACTCTCTTAGGACAAGGGGCTTAAAGACTGGGTCTGTAACTGCTTCAGGAGAGCAACTTCCCTGGCTGCCACACCAGGGCGATTCGCCCTCAACTGGGTCTCAGAAATCCTCTTCTGCTGAGGGCAAAGAATGTCCTCCAGATGCCCGGGGATCAGCCCTCCTGTGCCTCTCCTGGATGGACCTCAAGGGCAGCATAGGCTCAAGCTCTTTGGAGACTGAAGTCCCCTAGGACTCCCTAGAACATCGCATAATAGAATTGTTAGAAAACAAAATTCATTAGAATAAATTCAAAGATCTAATTGGTTTTATTAAGCAATTCATGAATCAGGTACGTCCCATTTAGCAAGTAGAAAGGCACCCCAAGGGGTTGCACTAAATAGATTTTTACAGACAGAAAAAAGGTGGGACAAGGTTATTAGCAACAGAGAAGAAAGATTATTTCAGGCAAAGCCACCTTCCCTCAGGGGAAGTCAGGGAGGTTTTGTGATGGTGATGACCTGCTAGTACTAACCAGGAAACTCTAGATTGATTGGAAATGTTGAAACTGCAATTAGGTTGGATATTAAGTCTGAGTGGGAACTGGCTTGACTCCATTTTGGGCCTGTTTTTCTACTTTTAGCATAATAAAATAACAAAATAACATAATTGTACCATTTTATAGAAATTAAAACTTTATATGAATTATGTAATTATATTGTGGTATAAATATATAATATTCAACATTATGCATTTATATAATTGTGTAGATATTATAATTATATATATTTCATATATTCATAAATGCATCTATTCATGTTGTTACAGAGGTAACTCCACAAAAGATGGAGGTACCGTGTCCCCCACCCTCACTCTACAGTGGGCGGAGCTCAGCTGCATGGCCAGGTGAAGATGTATAATGTGGAAGACAGATGGACTCTAGAAGGAAAAGCAATCCCTCTTGTTCCTGCAACCTGACTTGCCCCTTAGAACTGCTGGGAAGGAGACATGAAAGGAGACACGTGGAGGAGGGACTTGTAGACCACGTGGAATAGACAGGTGGGTGAAAGACACTTGGGGAGGCTGACAGTGGCAGTGCGAATCACTGACCCTCCTTGTTCCCAGGGATATTGTCCTGATGCCCAGAGTTCCCCCTTGTCAGCTAGGTGTAGGGTCATGCAGGGGGCCCCTCACCAAGGGCAAAATCCTATTATGAAGAACTTACTGGGAAAACCAGTATCTGCTTAAAACAGCAGGCAGATATTAGAATAGAGACAATATGCTTTCATCAGCAGGAACAATGGAGCCCCCCAGGCAATAGCCCCTGGCCACCACCCCGCCAGCTCATGCCCCACACGATCCACACTCCCTGCATGCTTGCCCCACCTTTGTACTTGATGCTAATAAATACTGCCTGTGTAGCCCCTCTAGGCTTCTCATTGCTTCAAATGGACTTTGAGTAATTTCTCTCAGTCTGCACGACTCCCGAGGCTGCCATGGATGTGGCTGCCACCCTGGGAAGCAACAAGTGGCAGCCATTATCTTGATGTGGCATCTTTTGTCCCAGCTTTCTATCTACCTGGAGGGGCTTTAGAATGGCAAGTTTTCAAACCACTTGTAATTCAAGGTGATGGAATGTAAGTGTGGAAGATGGCCAGCTCCCCCTTTCATGGAACTGTACCTTTAAGAGTTCCTTAAGAAATTTTAACATATATGGCAAAGTTATCTATGTTAACCATTTCCTTAGCTTAGCCTTCAAGCATATTTACAAAAGAAACTTTCATTCAGCAAATTTGGAGTTATAAATTTGCATTGATGAAATCTTAATCCATGATGCACTTAGCGATCACCCTGCAGCAAGTATTATAAAGACAAGACATTATTACAGTTTACATCCACATTAGCTCAGGCTATCTACAATAAATAGTTTTTTTAATTATTATTCAACAACACTTATTTACTACTCATTATGTGTCAAGCAGTATATTCTATGTGCTTTATAATTATAAATGCAATTGATCATTGTAACAAGTCTCTGAAGTGAATAGTGTTATTATCCATGATGTAGAGAGGAGGGCACTCCAGAGGGGTTTTAAGAAAGTTGCTCAGAGTCACAGAGCTGGTAAAACATCGAGCCAGGAACTACATGAGTGCAATTTGATTCCGGAGTGCTAACTCTTAACCACTACCAAAATGCCTCATAGTGTATTTAACTATCACCCTCTGTTCAAATGACAATGAAAAAGACATTTTCAAATGATCCAATACTGCCTGCCTCTGAAACCTGATATGATATGATTAACAAGGACTCCTGCTTGTTTGACTTGATAAAGTATGAATTCTTACCACGCAATCTCAATTTTAGTTTGGGATGACTGGTTACCATATGGGAAACTGTTAAAGCTATAGGCCCGCTCATTAGAGGATCCATATAATTTTGTTGTGCTTTTTTTTTGAATTAAGTACTATGCACTAGTGTTGAAGACACTCTACATTGCAGACTAGGGGGGCAAATGTAAGCAAGCCTTCAAGTGTTTTGGTTCATCTGTCCTGTCTCTTTAAAAATTTGCTTCCTGCTCATCCTTTAGATCTGGGCCCGCCCTGATTTTTCCAGAGAAGCTTTTACTAAGTCCCTATCTGAAACTTTCCTTCTCCCCCTCACACACAAACATGCACACACATTGGTCTTCATAGCACTACTTATTATATGAAATCTTGTTTATGCTCTTATCCTGCCCTTCCCTAATAAAAGCCCCATGGAGACAGAATCTTCTTGTTTTTACTCACTTCTATATATCAACTATGTATCTAAGCACATGGGTGACACTCAATAAATATATTTTTGAATAACAAAATGAGACTAGACTGAAGAATTTCATGAAACAGTGTTAGCCTTACATAGAAGCAATGAACAAGATAAAACAGGGAGAGCAGAAGTGCTGTGCAACATGGATGCCTGTGCTGAATGAAGAGTGGCTAAGCATTCATCCTCGTCAGAAGTTCACACTCAATCCTGGGGCCATGGGAAAACTGTTCAAGTTACTTTCCAGGCGCCTGATGGTTGCTAAATCAGAAACCCTGAGGATTTACAATCTCTAAAAGACAGAACACCCCTACTGCTAACTTCTCTACTTTATCCTTCAGCTTAAATCTGTTTCTGTTCAGTGGAGAACAGGTAGTTGCTATGTTATCCGTCACAGAAATCTTTCCATTTTTTTCTCTCCAGTCTGAATGATTTCAGCTAACTCTTCTTTCTTATATTTCTCTTTGAGTAATTCTCTAATCATTGTGGTGGCTTCTCTATTGATTTCCATGTTAAGGTCTTGGGAAGAAGAATCAAGGACACAATAGAGTCACTATGGGTCTGTGTGGACCCAGGCCCTATTCTTTTTAGTTTTTATCCTTCTCTTTGAGATTTCATGGATTTGTAGCTTTTGCATTTCCACGGCTCTTTTCAAATGAACAGTTCACAGTCAGCATCCATTTTCATTGTTTGTTCTGAATGTTATTTCAGTAGGTTCTTAGCAATATGGTTCTCCTGAATTTCTCACTCTGTGGGAATGGTATCTCTGGGATTAACAGACTGTGACTCCCATCCTATGTTCTCTTGGGGCTAGGAACCCTGAATGAACATTTGTTTTTCAGATTTACTCTGCTCCTTTGAGACAGTTGGGATTGATTTTTTTTTTTTTTACCTTTTCCTTCCAGCAATCATTTACTACCTTTCTTCAAATATAATCAGTCTTCTCTACAAGATAGTGAAAACAAAGCGGAAGTTTGCATGCCATTAACTCCACAGTTGCAAGTCTCCCTTCCTTCACAGTTCATTCTCTGACTCAAGTCAGCCATTTTAAATGATACCAAGGTATTATAAGAAAGGACCGCCTTGAGCAAGAGGAGAGATATACTTATGGGGGCAGGAGAACCACGTATAAGTATCATAATGAAGTATATCTGACTAGTGAAAGGGGAGAAAACAATTTTCCCTTTTTGTTTAAAGGATATTGGAGACTAAACCTATTAGAACCTAGGTTTTAACCTTTCCCTACCAGGAAAGTCATCTAAAGTAGAAAATGCATAATATTTCTGGTATATATGGTAATGGAAGAAAGAATTGTAATTCATGAAGAAGTGTTTCCCATTCAAGGATAAACAAAAGTCTTAGCAAGGCTATTAGTCTGAACATACAATTGTATGTTCAAATAAAATAACTATAATATTGGTTGTTAATTCAAAATACATATCACTAAGGATGAGTATATATACTAGAGACAGTTAAATGCTATGGAAGAGTGTTAAATTGTACTTTATGTATTTTTATTATCCATTAAAAACATTTTTTATTTAACATAGAGTTAATTTAACTTAGCACGTAATTATTGGTTACCTGCTATGTGTCAAGCATGATTCCAGGTGCCAAGGTAGAGCAGAAAACAAAATTGTCAAAATCCCACTACCTTTCTAGTGAAGAAAGAACATAACACATGATCTGGAATGTTAGAATATGGTAACTGATATGCAGTAACAAGTGAGACAGAGTAAGTTAAGGAGGAAGAGGCGTACAGGGGTGGGGACAAAGAGATGCAAGTTGCAATTGTATTTAGTGTGTGCAGGTATTTCTAACCAAGAGGACATTTGAACAAATGCATGAAGGAGATGGGAGAGTGAGTAGTCAAGTAGTTATCTGGGAAAGGAACTTTCCAGGCATAGGGCTCCACTTGAAAAAAGTCCCTAAGTCAGGAACATGCCTGACATTCTCAGGGTAGCAGAGTGGAGTGAACAAGTGGGAGGATACTAGAAAATGAGATCAGAGTGGAAACAGGAAGGAGTGGGAAAGTGAGAGGGCAAGACTAGTTAGGGTGTAAGTTTCTGGTAAACCCGAAAACGTAAATGCAGAGAGCCTACTAGAAAGTCTGCCCGCTCTACAGTCTGGTCTGATCCAGTGGGAGGCCTTCTCTCTGGACACAAGTTCATGGACTCACTGTGATTAAAATGCTCATTTTTCAGAATGGGTGTTCCTCAGAATCTTCCAGTAATGCGATATACCAAAAGTGATCAGACGAGCTAATAATCTAACAGACTATGCTATTACTCATTAAGTAACATAAAACTCCTTATCCAGTCCCTGGAGAAAAAGGAAGTAACCAAGCAACACACAAAACAATAATTACAATCGCCATAAAATTATGTCTCTCATGAGATTCACTACCAAATCCTTCCAGTCATATTATGTACACATAAATGACTGACTTTATCAGTGCATTTCCCGAAAGTCTGGTTTTGAGCCTCTGAGTCACCAAGGGCTAATTTTGATAGAATCAATGTGTGAGGACCAAGGACAGGCTGCCCCAGGATGTGCCAAAGTGGCATGCTGATTATTTTGAATTGAAGGTAATTGAAAAACAGCAGATCCAAGAATGGTATTTTGCCCAATTATCTATCTCCTTAAAATAGGAAATAAATCTTTGCAGTGGTCCTGCAGGTGAGAGACAGCCTTATCACACCAGACTAGGGCTTGCAAGGTCTGTTTTTGATGCATATGATAACCCTGCACAACTCCCTCTTTTAAATTGCAAAGGCTTTTGTTCTGTTTTTCCCTCTCAAATTTATTATCCCCTCTCTAAAAACTATATAAATTTACTGTAATGACCAGATTACAGGTTTTTTAATATACATATGGGTTTCCCTGCCTCTGAAGTTTATCTTTTCTCTTGCTAATAACTCTTGTGACAACTTAGTTATTTTTTAGCAGAATGGACTTAAAAGAGTAGAGGATTAGCTTCATCCCCAGCAAAAACAGGAACAGGTGTCACTTAGAGACAATGGACTTGTAGAGTATTGGTGAAAAAATATAAAGACAATGCCTGAGAGGTCAAAGGCTCTTAATGACTTTGTCTATTTTGAATCTACTTACCTAACTCCACATTTGATTTGTCTTTGTCACATTCAAACAAAATGTAACAGAATTCTGGGAATATAAAATAGAAAACATATTCTCTGGTTGGTTAATATCTAATCTCCTGCTAATGCCATAGTAAGTTAGAGACTAATTTTCTATTCTGTCCTGTTAAAAGCTAATGGGTTTG